TACTGCTAGCTGCTCATCTCCACAACCCACTGGACGCAGCTGGCGCTGACACTGCACACCAGGAGCCTCCCTCCTGCTCCAGCCTCTGCCTCGTTAACATGCGAGGATTCACAGGAAGAGAAGCTGCTTCTGTCTCCTCCCAGCCTGCAGCCTCCTGAGCGAGGCCTTGAACCCAGGGAGGAGAGCGGGGGGGAGGGGCCACAATGGGCGGAAGCTGGCATAACCAACCTACATCAAACCTGTATGTAAGGTTTCTGGGGCCAAAGAGCAGGAAAACACATGCTGATGTAAAAACGACTTCTCGTTAAATCCCAGGGTGAAAGGTTAGTGGAGCAGAAAATGCATACGAAGCAACATTTGGAAACACAAGAGGAAGTAAGGGAGCTCTTGGAAATAAAAAACTAAAAACAATAAAAGGGTTGGAAGATAGTAAAAGTTCTACCAGAACATAAGCAAAAAGATGAAAAAAATAAAACATGAGACACAGAAGATTAATTGTACAATCTTACCATAAGAGAGAGCAAACTTGGGAAAATCAGCCAAGAAATAACACAACCCCCCCCCCCTCCTTCCAGAAAAGGGGCGCGTGGAGCAAGGCCCCCCGGGGTAAAGCCTCAGCACCCCTGCCCTTGCCAGCAGCTCCCAGAGGACACAGATGGGGTGGGATCCTAGAAGGCACCGTGGGGAAGGGGCACGTTCCTCCCCCCGAGAGAGGACGGCAAGCCATAGGGTAAACCAACAGTCCGAGTTTAAAGCAAGTGGGTGTGTGCAACGGTTTTGATCAATTTTCACTTCATCTTGACATAATAATTCTCCCTGGAAACATAGAGGCCCTAAGGTTGGAAAAACCATGGAGGCAAGGGGATCAAACTGTGATGGCCGGCCCACGCGGAGAGCCATCATTACGCAACGTAACCCTGCCTGTGGGCTCCCGGTGTCAGGAGAAACGGCTGTGGAATGAGCCGGCCTCGCGGGTACAGAGCAGGAGGCGGATGCTGACTTTGGAAACGTAAACGGACAGTTTGCACGTCCCAGGGAGGAAAGAGACTGGAGGGCAGGGGAGGGCGGCTCTCTCCCACTTTCACCACTGACACTTCTAACTGCATGATTTACCAAGACCAAGTTTGCTTGACCTTTTTCTTTTTAATCCTCACCCGAGGATGTGTTTTTCATGGATTTTGAGAGAGAGAGGAAGGGAGAGAGAAACATTGATGTGAGATAAACATTTCACCCGAGGATGTGTTTTTCATGGATTTTGAGAGAGAAAGGGAGAGAGAAACATTGATGTGAGATAAACATCTATCAGTTGCCTTCCTGAACGCGCCCCACCGGGATCAACCTGAAACCTAGGTATGTGCCCTGACTGGGAATCCAATCTGCTGCCTTCTGGTGTGTGGGACAACGCCCCAACCCACTGAGCCACCCGGCCGGGGCTGTGTTACCTTTCTTTGTATCTGTATGAGGAGGATGAATGCTAACTAAATTTACTGCGGTAATCATTTCACAAACATTTATGCTGCACGCCTTCAACTTACACTGTGCTGTATGTCAACTGTATTTCAACACAACTGGAAAAAATAGGAAGTGACTAAGGAGAGGTGAGTTAAATATTGACATCTCATACATAAGGTCAACCGAAGTCTAAACCTGGTGAGACAGTAAAACATGGCGACCACAGGCACGGTGAAGGCAGGTGAAGGGGATGTGGGCCAGCAACTGAGAGAGGGAGGGGCAGGAGCCTACGGCTTCGTTTTAACCCTCCCACCACATTTCACTTTCTAACTATCTGTCTGCTCCTCTGATATTTTCTTAAAGATTGAGGAAAGGAAAGCGACCCAGGGCCATCTGCCATCGGGCTGCCATGATGGTGGGTTGCGCATGCTTTTCTTCCCATGTTGACCTGTGATTCAGCAACGCAGTTATGTGTGGTAATGTGACACATCGAGGTAGTCAAAAAGCCTTTTAGAGCAATCAGACCAAGAAGCCTTCTGAGGAAATGAAAAGACAGAAATGGCCTGTAAATGAGCTCTGTAAACAAAACAAACTGGGAAAATTAAGAGATATTACAATAACGCAAACACCCCTCCTCCCGCCTTTTCCAGAAGTGAGATGAAGTGTAAGTATTTCCCGTATTTTTACGGTGGAACTTCCCTCTGAGTTGCCCATGTGTCTGCCGGGTTCCTACACAGCCACCGATAGACTCACACCGACAGCCCGCTGGAGTCACGTCTTATTTTTACTTGCCTGTTTACTCTTTTTATTTAAGTAAATCATTGTTTCCTTCATGATTTCTGTCCTTTGAGCTTACAATCAACTCTCACCTTCAATTCAAAGGTTTAATATTTAACTGTATTTTAGTAGGTTTTTCTGTAATTCACATGAAATTTATTTTGAATATGGTATGTGGCAGGCACCTAACTAGTAATCCTAACATCTTGTTGAAAATCCCTCTTTTCATATGTGATCTCATTTATTAACCAAATTCCTACAAAAAGATACATGTTGAGGACATGTTGCTTTGGATTTAAGTGAACAATAACATACACTCAAAACAGATCATTTCTGTCTCCCTACTATTTACATCTCACTGCTTTATGCCTTAATGTTTTGGTTCATTCATTCAATGAGCTAAGAACTTCTTACATTCTAGACATAGTAAGTTTAAGATATATAATGGCAAGTGAAAAGGGGGCTGTTTCCCTCATTAATCTTAAAACATCAAAAGGTTAATTATGGCAGGAAGGAACAACATTGTTTTTTGTTGATATAGTTTGTATTCAAAGAATGGTTTTCATCATTACATCAGTGTATTAGTGTATATTATATATTAATATTTAATTTATATAAGATGAATTTGTTCACTTCACTGGTTTCATAACAAAAATTTCAAGAGAGGAGTTGAAACTATGCTCTGCAACCAAGAAAGGACAAGCGCGGTGGCCAAGCTCGGAGGGCGCGGTCTCAGCCTGTATTTTCAAGGACAATCTGCACAGGACACGACCACACACTGTTTGGCCACTGAGTACAGAGCTCACATTGCACACACTCAACTGCAGTCATCGCACCTCTGACGACGAGAAGCTGCTGGCAGAGGCTCCTGCTGTCACTCTGCCTCCCGTTCCAGGGACACACCTTTGTGTCAAAGCCTCCTTGTAAGGAAAACTGAGCCCAATCGTTTCTCACCAAGCGCATCACACACACGGCTGCTGATTGTAGGGTCATAAACACTAGCCTAAGACCCAGTTAGCATTTGGACAGGAAACATGTCTACAATCCCTGAAGAATACACTAGAAGCAAGCAAGGCGTTTAGAATGCTTTAATCTTTCCAGTCAACACCGTCTGCATCAGTAGCTGCAAAGCTGTAGCGTTAGCATCTCTCATAACTGGTCGGTGAGGGGTTTTCAAGGGCGGGAGTAAGAACAGAACGACAGGAGGTACAAGTACTGGGTTTCACACTTCCGTTAAAAACTCAAAATCAAAACTGCTTCTCTGCATTGAAACTCTATCAGAACTTGAAGGCTGCCGTGGCTTTAATCCCACGACTCGTCATCTGCTGGGTTAGGGATTTGTGAAGAGGAAAAGCCTGCTGTGCTCAGAGTGCTCTTGCCACGGAAATTCTTTAAGAGAAAGAGAAAGAGAGGAAGAGTTAGTGTTCTGACCGCCTTAGGCTACACGGCCCAGACGAGAGCAGGGAGCATGAGTCTCCAGGACCCAGCTCTGGGGACAAGGCCCAGCTCCACCTGGGAAGTCAAGGAAAACACTTCAAGCCAATAGTTTTGGCAAATGGAGAAACTTAAAGCTCTGACACCAATGAGTACGCACAACCATTTCATGATTCATATGCTGTTTCTGTTGCCTAGAAACTGACACCTCAGAAAAGATGTACAACTCATGTCTCTATGACTGTATCTTAGTAATAATGTGGCAAGAATTCCCAAAATAAAGCATTCGTACAGGAAGTTCAAGAGATACCAAATTAGAATTTAAAACGCCAGCACACTTGGGGAGAGGGGGGCTTCTGAGTATAAACCTTGATGTTAATTCTGCACCTTTAACACCAAAAATACCTATATATATGAAATTTTAGAGAAATATTACAGTAACCTTCAGGTATAACGATGATGGCTCAGGTAAATGCTGACGGTTCTCGGGATGTCACAGTATCAGACATATTCCACGGAGTGACTACAGCCCCATCTGAGCTGCCCTCACCAACCTTCCTGGTGTCCACCGATGTGAACACGCTCTCTCTGCTGCTCCCACTGAAGCCGGGCACGTAGGTACTGAAGGCGATCTCTTCCAGCCACGCGGGAACATCCTGCTGAGCCTTTAAAACAAATGCACTTCATGAGCCACAGGCACAGATGCAGCCTCAAAGACTGCCCTCCGCTTTCCTGAACGCCCCTGCGTGTGAGGCGCCGACTGCCCCGTTGAGGTGAGAACACTCAGTGCAGCTCGAAGACGGGACACTCACATCCGACAGCACCTTCACGAGCGGCTGCGCCAAGTGCCTGTCCGACTCGGGATCAAAGAAGGAGACGGCTCTGCCGGTGTTGCCACAGCGGCCGGTGCGCCCGATGCGGTGAACATACTCGTCGATGGTGGAGGGAAGGTCAAAATTGATCACATGCTGAACGTTTTCAATGTCCAGCCCCCTGGCAGCTACGGAAGTAGCCACCAGCACGGGGCACTTCCCGCAGCGGAAGTCTCCCAGGGCCTGCTCTCGCTCTCTCTGTTCCCGGTCCCTTGGAAGAAAGGAAAGCATGTATTTTAGGACAGCTCTGACAAAAACTATAAAGAGAGCCTTTCAAGTTTGATGTGTGAATTTATTTTTAATACCAGTAAAAACATCTGACACTAAATTTCTTTTTAATACGAGCTACATATGACATTAATGTTCTCTCTCACATACCACGTATCCCACAGTTCCCACAATGCTCGGAGGTTGGAACACCATCCCCAGTTGCAGATGGGGTGACAGCTAATACATACAAACTGTAAACTCAAGGATGACAAATGCCAAGTCTCACCTATTAATCTCTATTAATAATCTTTCTAGTCTTGGGAAAAACACGACACTTGATTAGAATACTTGCTTAAAAAATACAGGTTTCTGACAAAGCATAAGCTCAGCATCCTACATAGTCACGGATTAATATTTTACACGTACCAGTGAAGGACCGACAAGCCGTGTTAACACGTGTTGTGAGCACGCAGCGCGCCAAGGAGATTAGATTCGGCAGAGGGAGCCCTGGCTCTGAGGACCGGGGCCTGCAGGGGTCCTTAGAGGAGTCCCCACTCCTGGGGAGGAGGAGCCCTAAGACAGGCCTTACCTCCCTCGTCCCTGACACTTAGTTCTAATAAAACCTTGACATGAAGATGAAGAATAATATTTAGGTTTTGAGAATTCTGAACACGAATCCTAGGATTCTATCATATTCGTTATATAGACTCATGTTTCTAAACAAATTGGCAAGTAGACACCACCTCCCTCCTAGGAAGTGGTATTAATCTACTCACCCATGAATGCTTGTTGTTGATATTTTTTCTTGACAAAGAAAAGTGGCAATAAAATCTGCTTTTTTCTTAGTTTCAACAAAGACCATAGCTCTTTCATCACCTACAATGAAAGACAATGAAACTATGACTAACATTCAAACCAAAAACTCAGAAAAAGGAAAGGGAGGTGGGTAGGAAACCTTCTCATCCACCACTTCACTCTCAGCACCTCGACCAACTGGCCTGGTCGCTATCAGGGACGCAAATATCCTCTCATGGGTTGGGCTGGGGGGAGAGAGAAATCCAGTTTGAATCAGCTGTTAAAGTGTGCACCGTATATGTTTTTGAGGGGCACCCTGTATATAAAGACCAGACACCTTTAGAAAATGCTTTCTTTCTCTTGCTCATTTTTGGAAATCAGATGGTTTCTTGCCTTCTTCTGCCTCTTTCCCTTCAAACTGAGAGAGAGAGCTACTACACGGGAGAAGGAGGAGAGGGGGGGGGGGGCGTGCAGCCTGTAACGCGCCTGCGAGCCCGAGAGGCGGTAGGTGGCCGTACTGGAGGTTTTGTTTCCAGGCACAGCCTGCAGCTATTTCCTCAAACTAAGAGACACAGTGGGTGACTTTCCATAAGAACTGCTCTGGGGCAGGGGAACTGGATTTCTCAGCGGGATTTTGAAGAAGCAGAGGCAGGTCTTTCAGTCCCTTCCAGCTCTAAAATGCTTCCAATCGATGAACACAGGAGGCCTTCGGAAGCAAAAACGGGAGCTGGAAACACAGCAGAGCTCACTTGTGGTGGAGTAGAGCTTGATGTAAAAATATGTTACTAAGCTTTTCTATTTTCTAAAACAAACAAAACCCCCATTTTTCTGCTGGAATAGTTTTTAGTCAAATACTGTTAAGCAAAGTCTCAAATCCTTCCTACTTTTAACCTTTATGGAGGAGAAAGGACTATACTCCTATATAATTTACACTGAAAACTGAATCATAAAAACAGCTTTAGAAAAAGAATGAAAATAAACTTATTAAAACTCATACCAAACAATCCTTAAGAGTAGCTTTAACAAATCAGAATCGTAACAAAGATAACCACACCCATGCCGGCACCTGTGTTCCGCAGGGTCTCGACCAGCTTCTCTCGCTTGGAGTACTGGCCCACTTGGAGGACCGTCTGCTGGACATCTGTGCATGCCCCGCCCACTTGTCCAACAGCAACAAACAGGTAGTTCAGCTTTAAAAACTCCCCAGCCATCCTTGAAAGACAAAAGATTATTCCTTCACTTAACCTCTTCCATTAATACGCAAAATATCTGCTGAAATCCTGCAAGACAGATCGTAACAACTACAATACAAGGTGAATACTTATATCATCCAAATACTACTTTCAAAGATCAGTATAAAATACTAAGGTTCTGCAAAATACGTAACTACTAGTGGAGAAGTTTGTGTCCAATCATGGACATAGTAATTCCAACTGCATGTGCTGACCACGCAAAACTATAAAATGTGTGTACAATAAAAAGTATGCTCCACTGAAATTTATGCAAAAATTCTGTTCTTTGCTCATTGCTTTTATCACAGAAAATACTGTTTATCAAATCACTAAACTTCAAACGAACCCTTAGGAGCAAACCAGACCGTAGGTCAGTGTGTGTCACGTCGTGATGCACAGAAAGTCACACGTGAGCAAAACTGGGCCAAAAAGCGAGATCAGGGCCCAGAGGCCAGGCCAGGCCAGGCCAGGCTGCTCGCCCAATAGCTGGGCACCAGCACCTTGACAGGCACAAGGTCACCCCGAGACCTGGGAGCTGGAGAGGGGGCCTGGCAGTCACACAGCTGCGTCTGGGGGATGAAGGGCAGGTCCAAATCCCTCTCGGGCCCCTCTCCCCCTTGTTCTCTAGCTGCCTCCTCGAGTACCTGAAAACAGTGCCAACTCAGCGCACCCAGAACCTCACCAATCACTGCTGTGCTTTCCCCCCACCTGTTCCCCCCCAGAGAGAAGAGCAGAGCTTCCTTCTGATCCACCTCCATCCAGCAAGCACCCTCTCGTCCATAAACCTTGACGGCATCTGCAGTTCCTTCCTGCCCATCCTCCTCCTCATCACTGACCACACGTGAGCGCCTGCGCCAGGCACACCTGGGACCGGGCATCTTTGAGCACAAAGATGAGTGTGACGGTCTCTGCTTCTGAAGTGCTCACACTGATTTATATAAAAATAACTACTATACTTTTAAAATGTCCAGTTTAATGTTCACACATTTTAATTATATAGTAGATATTTTAATGTATCCTGTATAATAAAGCGGCAATATGCAAATTGACCATCACACCCTCGCACAAGATGGCCGCCCCCATGTGGTCAAAGATGGCCGCCACAAGATGGCCAGCAGAGGAGAGCAGTTGGGGGTGACGAGGCTTGCAGGGGAGGGCAGTTGAGGGGGACCAGGCTTGCAGGGGAGGGCAGTTGGGGGCAATTGCGCTGGCAGGGGAGCAGTTCGGCGTCGATCAGGCTGTCAGGGGAGTGGTTAGGGGGTGATGAGGCTGGCAGGCAGAAGAGGTTAGGGGCAATTAGGCAGGCAGGCAGGCGAGCAGTTGGGAGCCAGCAGTTCCGGATTGTGAATCGGACATCCCCCAAGGAGTCCCAGATTGGAGAGGGTGCAGGCTGGGGTGAGGAATACTCTCCCCCCACAAGTGCACAAATTTCGTGCACCAGGCCTCTAGTTTATTATAACAATCTAGTGTTACAAAAGCATCTATTGAACACTTCTTGCATTCCAATAAATGTACAATGTGGTTTAAACAGTTTAAAATGATGTCTATTTAGAAGAGTCTTCGAGTTTGAAGCTTGATCTGAGGAAGCAGCAAGTAAGAATGTGAAAGACTAATGAGGCAAGGCATTCCATGCCAAAGGAGAGGAGAAATGAGAACAAATGCTGAGGAGGATGGGATGTGGCTTGTCCAGCCACAGGACACCGCTCACAGACCAGAAACAAATGATTCCAGGTAACCAAGTGGCAGGTGAGGCCGACAGTCACGTGTGAGCATTTGAAAGCTGTTATAGTCTGTGGGGATGGGAGACATGCAAGGGTTTATTCTGATCAATGTCCAAGAGGGTCAGACTTCATTTCAGAATGATCTCTACTGCGAAAGTGGGGCTGAGGGAGGGAGGCAGGTTGGAAAGCTACTGCCAACAAGCAAAGGGAAACTGAAAAGGCTCTAAATTACAGCCGGAAACAGAAGAAACTAACAGATTCGAAACATTTTAGGGGTAACTGCCAAGTTGAGTATTTTTCAAGGGTAGTGACATACAGGAATGTGAAGGAAGATTCAACATAATTCAAAGGATTTGGGCTTAAAAAGACCATGATCGCAATAAGGAGAACTTGGAAGAGGAGGCTGGAGAAGGGGTCAGCTTTGGACGTGAGGAACAGGAGTTGCTGGTAATCCATCCAAGAGGAAAATGCTGCTAAGAGGTTAGATCTGAGCGTCTGGAGCTCAGGAAAGAGACCAGGGACACGGGCAATAGGTTGGGCATTACCGGCAGGTGCCAGCCAATGAGATGGATGCTGCAAGGCCTCGGCGAGCATGGAGGGGAGAAGCACGGACTCAGGCAGAAGACAGTGACGCGACCGAGGAGTCAGGGACTGAATGATACACACGACCCATGAGCAGGGACTCCAGCCGACTCACTGTACGTTCCCAGGCTCAGAATCCAACATGGCTCATAAAAGGTCCTCAGCAAACACTGCTGCCCGATGGGGCCCACATGGCCATTGGGGCTGGCTGACACCCAAATACTTTCCTATTTCAGGGTAGACAGGCAGACACGGAACATGTGATGAGTGAAAGACACTGCCAGCCAGCCCTGCCCGAGGGCCTATGGCCCCACACAACTTTCTACCAGGCCAGGGCCCTCTGCAGAGCACAGGCGGCCCACAGTCACATCGCACTGGACCCGGAGCTGCCACCCTGGCAGGAGCTGAGCCGCCCTTGCCTGTCCCCTGGAAAGACAGCCAGTGCCCGGCTTGAAGAGACCCTCTGTGAGGCCTGTGGCCTCATCACGCCACAGGCACAGGAACTCGAATCAGGATCTTTGTGGTGCATGGGCCTGGGCACCAAGCGACGCAAGCAAGAGAGGCCCCCATCCCATCACCCCAGAGACCCACGAGGAACCTGTGCTTCCTGCCCCCACAGCAGGTTCTGCAGGTCTGCAGGTCTTGGTTCCCAAAGAGAGAACAGTCCCGCCTCTGCAGACAGCTGAACGAGGAGCTAACACTGCTGCCTGGGCACTGCAGGCTCGCGTGGCTAAGGGACCAGCAGGCCCAACGAAGAGTCACCACACTAGAGGGATTCTCCTGACCTCACAACTCACCAGGCCACATCTGTCAACAGCTGGTAGGCACATCTTCTACCAAAGACCAATTCCCCCAAGCTCTATAACTCTGATTTGAAGAAAAGGGACAATTATAAAAGCAACTTAATTTAGTAAGAACTTACTAAATCCTAGCTAGGTGCTGTGCTATAATACACACAAACACATTTTAATAAAATGTGAGGTTAATGCAAAGCCAAGAACAAAGGTAAGAAACAATGAAAACTATGGTCACTTTTTAGGAATACATCTACTTTTTAAAACTATTTTATAACCTTAAAAAAATTAAATATTTCTCATAAATAGAATGTTCATATTGCTTCTGTTTCTATAAAAGCATGTTATGTACATTACAATTATCTTTAAGAAGAAAAAAAAATGAACCTTTGAATTTCTTCTGGGAAAGTTGCACTAAACATAAGGGTTTGGCGCTGTTCCTTTGAAGGCATTCCTGGACAGGAAATTAATTTCTTCATTTCTGGTCCGAAACCCATATCCAGCATGCGGTCAGCTTCATCCAGAACTAGATATCTGACTTGTCTAAGACCAATCTTTATGGGTATTTTCAAAGATTAGAGCAGAGAATGCAACTAGTTAATATATTAAACTAAAATATTACACATTCCAACTATTAATATTTTCTTAAGGATGAAGATTAGAAATCAATGCAATGAGAATGGTTATGCTTAGATAATACTTTACTGTTTATTTCAGTTCTCCATGATCTCTAATGTTGTAAACATTTTGTAAGTTAGGACTAAAACCAGAATATCTAGACCAACACTGCCCAGCAGACCTCACTCACGTGACCATTCTGCATCTTCGCTGCCTGACACACCAGCCATGGCCACTGTCGCTATATATGCACTTGAACTGTGGCTAGTGTGCCCGAGAAACTGAATTTTAAATTTTGAATCATCTTTGAAGTTAAATAGCCACATGAATAATGAATTGGACAGCACAGATCTAGACTGTTTTCCCATAAAGTCTGATTCCTTGAGAAATAAAAATTTCTAACAGAATGACAAATACAAATGTCTTTTAAATGGCAAATTTTTTTTCTAACTCCTTCAAATCCTGAATAAATTCTCCATTCTCTAACCACTCAAGAACAACTGGGAAAGGCCTCTGACCTTGAACGTTGATGCTATAAAGAGCAGCACACATTTACAAACAGGAAACGATGACTTTGGTACCACCATGGGACATGTTTAGTGACAGATCAAGATGGACCTCTCTGGATGCTCTTTTTTAACTTTATTTTTATTGTTGACACTATTGCAGATGTTCCCATTTCCAACCCCCCTTGGCCCACCTCCCCCCGGCCCCTCCCCTCTTCCCGCTGGCCATCACCACACAGCTGTGTGTGTCCATGGGCTGTGCCTATACAGCATGTTCTTTGGCTAATCCTTTCCTCTTCTTTCATCCATTCCCTCCCTCCTCCCCCCTCTGCATACTCTTAGTAAGTATTCTAAGAGAAGTGCCTTGATGCAGAAAAAACATGTTTTGAGTAACCTCTTTAGAGAAGAGCTAAAAAAAAAAAAGCAAATCACGTTCATGAAAGTGAACTTAAAGTATTGTTCAGAGATGTAACAGTGGTATGTGAAAACCTAAAGTACATACATGGCCCTAAAATCTCCTTAAAGTCTTAGAAAATTAACAAGTCTGGTTACTGTCGCTCCCACACTTAAATGGGAGACAAAACTGTTGTCGTCAAAGGCTTCTTCTAGGGGGAAAAAAGATTTCATCCAGACATAGATGAAACTAGAGAAAAGCGTTTATCACATCTGTCTCCCAGAGTGGCTGGGTATAGGATACGGGTTCTGAAATCAGATCGAGATTCTACCCTAGCCCTATTAACTTACTAGAGCTAACTAGGGGATTTTAAATAAATAACATGATCACGCTGAGTTTGTTTTCCCAAGTATGAAATGAGAACTAGTATTTATCTCCCGTTAAGGAGGTAAGAACACATTAAAAAAATGTGATGGGGGCCTACCATAGGAATGGTTATCAATGGTGCTCTAATAAACATCTCCATCTTTATAGCACTGTCGCCATTCCCATACACAACACTTAATTCATCCATACAGCCGCCCCCGGGCCTACCTTTTCTTTACTGATGACATCCATCAGTCTCCCAGGAGTAGCACATAACACATTACAGCCTTGGGTTATCTGTCGAACTGAATGCCCAAACTGGGTTCCCCCATATATGACAACAGCTCTTACACAAGTTCTATTGACAAGAAAAAGAAATGTTATTTTCTAGTTACTTGAAAATTAGACACTTATATCTAACAAAATGTAAAGCAAAATCCATAAAGACAAAACCTAATACATTCAACAACCTTTAAAAAATTAAATTCTTCCCAGGAAGAGGTTGATAAATGAAAAACCATGGAAAAATATTTTGTTATGATCTGATAAAGAGCTCTTAAAAAACAAGGATAAACACCACCACCACCCACACAAAAATAGGACAAAAACATGAAGAAATGATTCATTAAAAGCACAAATAACCTTTAAACCTTTTTAAAGTTACACATTATTTCTAAAAGGAAAACAAATAAAGATTAATACATTTCCCCTCAAGTGTGATGACACCAGTCAGGCAGACCATAGGGAAACTGACACTCAAGGGGGTAAACTGAAGCCACCCATTTCACAATTGTAGTCACTATTCAAATTTAAACACTTATTTTCGTTCCAGGAAGTTCACACACACAAATTTATCCTTCAGATATGTCCCTGTACGGGCAAAGATGACTGTATAATAAGATTCAATGCCAACATTGTTTTTAGTATCGAAAGATTGAGAACTACCTAAGCATCTAACAATAGAAAACTCAAAATTACAGTCCATCCATCCATAGGAATATATGCTTTCATAAAGAGAGAGGGCCAGTTCTAGAATAAGCAACACCACAGCATACGCCGTTTAAGATCACAGGTGGCGCCAGCTGAGCAGGCCACCATTTGTCACGAGGACGAAAAGGCACGGGTGGAGAAGGTGCAAGACGCAGAGCAGGTGGACACTGCTCACTTCCTCCCATGACCACATCCACCTTCCAACTGAACTACAGACCCACCAACCTGAGCATCAAGTTGAGGCAGCTGAACAGAAGCCTGACAACCAAAGATACAGACCCCGAGACTGGTGGGGAGGGGGGTGCAAGAAGGGCTGGGCCCTCGGCCCTCCCACGTGGCGGCTGAGAACCAGGAAGAATGTCTCATGGCAAAGGTTCCCCCTTAGGAGTGAGGGTCACAACCCCACACCGGGCTCCCCAGCCAAGAGCACCAGAGCCACGAAGAGGAGCCCACATAACATCTGGCTGTGAAAACCAGCAGGGATTCTACCTGTCCAGGTGAGACAGAAGGCAGCTGGAAACCCAGGGCTCCTCTTAAAGGAACAATGCACAAATGCTTGTTTGTGGGCACTCACTCTGGGCTCCAGTGAAGGGACGGAGGCTGGAAGGCTGCCAGAGACACACGGGGACAGACCGCATTGTGTGGCTCTGGCTGAGGGCTGGAGGGACAGCCGCCAATGCCCGCGTCGAGTCCTCTTACTGCACCGTATTTCCATCAAGGCTCAACTCCCACAGGAGGCCCACAGAGCCTACACCAGAGACCCTCCTGCAGAACTGGCCCAGGGGTCAAGGAGACTGTCGCTGGGCCCCACAGGACCTACCACTAAGGCCATCCTACCAAGACCGGAAACTCAACAGTTCTACCTAGTGCACAGACCACAGAGAGAAGCCAAAATGAGGAGACAAAGAAATACGCCCCAAATGAAAACCCACAGGACCTACCACTAAGGCCATCCTACCAAGACCAGAAACTCAACAGTTCTACCTAGTACACAGAAACACAGAGAGAAGCCAAAATGAGGAGACAAAGAAATATGCCCCAAATGAAAGAACTGCAGAAATCTAGAAAAAGAACTAAATGAAATGGAGGCAAGTAATCTACCAGATACAGAGTTCCACACAATGGTTATAGGAATGCTTTATTTATAGTAGCCCCAAATTAGAAACAACTCCAACACCCCCAAATAGAGAAGTAAAATACATACACATAGGTAATTTTAAAGTCTTTAAAAATTAGGTCTAATGATGAAATAAGCAGTTTTCCATGTTTATGTGTAAAAGAGGAGAAAATTAGGAACATCTGAAGTTCATTTTTTAAATTAAAAATTACCAGAACATACACCAATATGTTCACTACAGTAGGTCCTCGGGTTACGTCGGAGATCTGTTCCTACGGAGTGACGTAATGCGATTTTTGCCGTAAGTCAGAACCCACCTATACAAGCACCTGCGTCACTCACATGGAGCATATACACAGCAGTAATGAAGTGAAATAGTAAAAAAATTTAAAATAGAGATAACAATTCCTGACCTTTACTTGTGGTAAATAAATAATAACAAACGTAACGCACATATGTACATACATCGAAATGACACAACTTTTTAAAAAATAAATACTATAAATGGGAGATAGCAACGTAACCACAAAACAACGTGTGTCGAGTCCAACGCTTTTTAAAAAATAAATACTATAAATGGGAGATAGCAAAGTAACCACAAAACGTGTGTCGAGTCCAACATAACCCGAGGACTGCCTTACTTTCTTATTCTAGTATCATCTAAGTTTTCATAAGCATGTTTCTTTTTAAAAATAAAAATAAGCAGGGATTCCATAAACAAGATTAGGAAAAAGAACACTTGGATTAAGTTACATGACTGTGGTGTTACCGAGTTCTCCCCCAAGCAGAGGAGAACGTCTTGTTAAAAAAACGCTCGCTGTGAGTGGCCTCCAGACGCACTCACCCGAAGGAGAACTTCCTGGCTTCCAGGTAGATCTGATTGATGAGCTCTCGGGTGGGGGCCACGATGATGCACTCGGGCTCCTGCAGCTCCCGGAAGCGGCTGGCGGTGATGCCGTCACGCATCATGTGCGCCAGGATTGGCAAGAGAAACGCTGCCTACAAGTTAAAGGGCATAATTGACAAATTACCACGCATCCTCTTCCACCCTCAATCATTTTGGTTTAGATACTACCATGTTCCAGAAGGAGCTGAACACACCTAGAAAAGTTAAACATGTTAACTGCAACACTAGTCTAAAATCACTTCAAAATTCTTTCTTCAGAACTACGCACACCCCACTAAGAGCAGAAACCAGAAGCAAAAATGTAAGTACAGTATTTACGACAGTTCATTGAAATCATCTTCAAACCTTCAATCCAACAAAAGAGATTCAAGCTCTTTGGGGAAGAACCAAAGTTCAAACACCGTTAACTCGAGCATGGGCAGAACACACGCGGGAAAGTGGCTTACCGTTTTCCCCGATCCTGTCTGAGCACAAGCCATCAGGTCTCGCCCTGCGAGTATGATCGGGATGCTGTATTTCTGCACAGGAGTCAGCTTCGTGTAACCAGCCTTAGCAATGTTGTTATTCAGCGTCTGACAGAGATTAGCTTCTTCAAACGTCTACAAGAAAGGGGCAGTGGTTCATTTCCATTTATCAACTGCAGGTCATTCCATAAACATTCCATTTGAATTTGTTTTCAGTTTTTTAAAATTCCACTCTACATACTGAAGTTACTTTACTAATACGGCCCCACTCAAAGTCCTATCCAACCTGCATCACTACTCAATTGCATAAGGAGTAGTTCCAGGAGACAGTGGTTCTAAAGGCAGTTTCTCTGCCCCCTTTAAACCTGTGAGACACAAATAACTGATCAGTAACAAGGGCTGGTTATCAACAAGGCCCCACCTGCCTTAGGAAATCACTCCCCTAACCCAACTTTCTCATATACTTAGGAAGCGGAGATCTTGACTCTACAGAGTATCCTTTTTAGTAAATGTAAGTAAAAGGTGCACCTGGTTTGGAGGTGGGGCGAAATCAGGAGCCTCTCTTTCAACACAGGAATTAACGCTATGTAGGTGGTAGACAGGGTTTCGAATTTCCTAACCCTTTATTGACTAAGATGAAATTCTTGTATTCTTTAGTATCGACTTAAAGGAATGTGCCATATATTTTGAAACCACAGTTTGAGACAGTCAATACAGGGATAATGATCACTGACCAAAATCGCTGGTGGAACGTCGTGTCCAGACACTTCCACGAGAATACTGTCGTACTTGTCAAAGTTGATGCCTGTCTGATAATGTGCGAAGATGGAGTCCTCATCCTCGGGTGGGGCAGGTGGGACGTAGGTCACTTTTGGTCCTTGGAATTCAAATAATAAACAGAATCTCCATTACAGGACCAGAAGAAAAGTAAGAGGGAAACAGACAAAGACTGGCAAAATCAAACTTTAAATACTATACAATTTCTAAATATTTAGCATTAAAGTTTTCATTTCTAAGTTTTAAAAGTTAACTTCGCTTTTAAATATTCTGCGTTTTTATTAAAATGCAATACACATTCTGTGAATCACACAAAATTAATGTACCTTGAGTGTCATCACTTTCTGCTCCTTCAGTTCCTGACTTCCAAGAATCTTAAAGGGAATCAAACCCAAAAAGAGATCAATGTTTTTTTAAAACTGGGGGGTGAAAGAACTCTCACTATAAGAATCAAACATCTCATCTCAAGGAACACTTACTTTTTGCAGAGCCTGTGATGACTTCTTCATTTAGCCCTTTGTAGCCACCTAGGAAGGAAACCCACAGTGACAATCAGGACAAAGGCGGTACCCATCTAAAAACGGACAGACGTCTTTAAAGTCCTTCCGCACAAATAACACTTGAGACAATGAAGATACGTGGGATCCTGAGCATTTTGTTTCCTTCGTATTCAAAATGCTGGTTTTATGCAGATGACTGTTAAATATTACTGTTTTTTTGTTTAAGCTGTTATGTCTCTAATTCCTATGTCCCTCAGCAAAGGGATTTATTTTCTAAAAGGAAGTAAGTGTTCATCTGTGTTGGGGTGTCCCCACCAGCACCTCCAGGTCCCACCATTTCCCAGGACTCACGCGATGACTTATTACAGGGAACGAACAGAGAGCAGAACCGCCAAGGGGCAAAGTCAGACACCCAGGCCCAGCGTCCATGTCCTCGCCCCTGCTCTCACCCAGGACGCGCCTCACTCCCCAGCAAGGAGCTGGGACTGCTGTCCCCAGAGGAAGCTCAGAAGACGCGAGACCCAGGCTTTCCTGAGGGCTGACAATGCGGCCACCTCCGGCCTGGGAGTCCCGACCCCAGAGGAAAAGCAGGAGCAGCCAGGCCTCCCTGTGCACCTGTGGCCTTTCTACTTCAGGCAACGCCCCCTCTGGGCCGCTGTGGGTACATCACAACCAAGAACAGGCTGCCCTCCCTGTGGGAGGCTAACAAGAGGGAGCCTTTTCCTGGGAGCCCTATACTTGTCCACAGAAAGGTCTCGAAACGTGTCTTTTCACACCGCATGGGAGCATTTGGAGAAGAATCTTTCTAGAGTCAAGACTCCAGGGCCTGGGCGGGATGCTCTGAATGCTCAGACTCGGCATGGCGCTGAGGCTTCCAGACGGCCAGCCAGCTCCACTGTCCTAACAGCCGGGAGAGCGTGGCCCTCCTGCAGGACAGGAAGGGCGTGACTGAAACACCCTCGGGCACCACGTCCTGTGCACTGGACTCCACACCCCCCCAAACCAAACCGCGTCGTCAGAAAAAACACACTGCTTTACAGTGAGGCTCTGTACAGTTTCTCAATCTTTCATATTTCCCTGATATTTCATTTCATGGTTTTATTACTTATTGGAGTTACTTGCTGATAAATTTTAGGTGACTTTCAGTCTTTACTTACTATAAATGAAGCTTCAGTAAACAGCCCTGTAAGCATATTAAGGAAATACATCTACAGCATTAAGTATTAAGTCACTCTAAAACACAGGCTGTGCAAATGTATGCTCCAAGTGTATAAATGCAGTAACAGCTACATTTAACTTCAAAAATTAAACTTGTATTACAATCATTTTAACCACTTATAGGTAAACCAAACAAAAACTCACCTTGATCCTGGCCAGTATTCTCAGTGGTTAGAGCATTGGTCTGCCCAACAAAGGGCCATGGGTTCAATTCCCAGACAAGGGCATTGGGTTGGGGTTTTGATCCCTGGCCCCCATCAGGCGTGTGTGGGAGGCAACCAATCGATGTATATCTCTCACTTCTCTCTCCCCCCCCCAACCCCTCCTTCCCTCCTTCCACTCTCTCTAAAAATCAATGGAAAAATTATCCTTCGGTGAGAACTAACAAAAAATAAATAAAAATAAATAAAAACAAAAACTCACCTCGTCCACTCCCACCTCTGCTTTGGTAAATGTCACCATTGCCTGGAAGACATGGTTTTGCAGACGCTTTAGAGAAAGCACTCCCCCTCCAGCGCACGCACCACAGAGCTATTTCTAATCAGACCCTGAGCACGTACTCAGGACTCCTAGTCCCTCGATCATCCACCTCTGCAGTCTACATTTCATCTAAACCTTTTTCTCATCTGAATGTTTTCTTTAAAAACTTCAATTTTTAGATCCCACTTCTAGGAATATATCCCAAGTACTCAGAAACACCCATTAGAAAGAAGGTATGCATCCCTACGTTCATAGCTAAGATTTGGAAACAGCCTAAGTGCCCATCAACAGATGAGTGGATTAAAAACTATGGTACATCTATATAATGGAATACTACGCTGCTATAAAAAAGAAAGAACTCTTACCACTGCAACAGCAGGGATGGACCTAGAGAGCATTATGCTAAGCGAAATAAGCTAGTTGGAGAAAGATAAATACCACATGAACTCCTCATTTGTGGACTCTAATGACCAACATAAACTGATGAACAAAAATAGACCCAGAGACAGAGAAGCATTGAACAGACGGTCCAACCCCAGAGGGAAGGCAGGGGAGGGTGAAGGGGGAGAGATCAACCATGAACTCATATGCATAGATGCATGACCCAAGGACACAGCCAGTGGTGGTGCAGGCTGGGGAGAGGGCAAGGGGGGGTGGGGGTGGGAAAGGGACATATGTAACACTTTCAACAATAAAGATTAACAAAAAAACCTTCCATTTTTAGAGCAGTTTTAGATTCACAGCAAAACTGAGGGAAGATACAGGGATTTCCCATTTCCTCCTGTCCCCACGCATGCATGGCCACCCCCACTGTCAACAACCCCCCTAGGGGTGCACCTGCTACAACTGAGACCCTTCACCGACACGTCCTCACCACCCAGAGGCCAGAGCGGACATCAGGTCACTCTGTGCTGACCACTCTGTGGGTTTGGACACACGTGGAAGGACGCATATCCACCACTACGGCGTCCCACAGAGCAGTCCCACTGCCCTGAGCATCCTTCATGCTCTGCCTGCTCAACCCTCCCCACTGCCCCCTGAAACGCCACCGTGTTCCTTCTAGGGGGTCATGGAGTTGGGATCAGAGGCACACGGCCTTTCCAAGTGACTTCTGTCACGTAGTGATAGACATTCAAGGTTCCTCCATATTTCCTCACAGCCTGGTACCTCATTTCGTTTGAGTGCTGAGAATAATCCACTGCCCGCATGTACCACAGTTTATGTACTCACATTTGAACATTATTCATCAACAATTGTATTCTTATTTCATTTTCTCCTCAAATCCCCTAACTCAGAATCCCTCCTTTGAAACTAATGAAAAATTTATTTTCCTTCCTCTAATTAAAAGCACAATTTATAACTCAAATTAACTGGTAGATAAGAGAGAAGAAATAATTCAGTGTATAAATTTTATGAGAGGCAAAACTGTCCATGTATTTTTGCCTACAGAGCTAGAAAGCAGAAAAAAATCATGAGCCAACCTAGCATACGTAAACATATATGTTAGGGTTACTAACCCTAGAACTAAAAGCGTAGGTGAATAATTAATTTTCAATAGTGAATTCTATTTCTCACCCGGGCCACTAAACGCTGGTCTCCTAGATCCAAAAAGGCCGCCAGTGCGTGGCGTCCCCTCGTCTTGTTCACACTCGCTGTCTAGATGTGTAGATGATAAAATTAGATGACTTGTTACTTTTAGGAAGTTTTAAAATCATGGGTAAAAAGAATAAATCATGTTATAGTGCCAAAAGTTAAAAGATGTGGGTAAAATAGTTCAAATTTAACGGGAATCACCTGAGTGTTTTTTAAGTACTGCACACAGGATTTCTCCACAAATTATTTCCTTCAGATACAAATTACTTCCTCAAAATGTTTATTTTCATAAAAGCATTTAGGGTCAATGATTTGTCAAAATATAATACCGGCAAGCATTAAATCACCGCCACAAAGCAGCGCTGTGCCTGAACTTGCACAGCCCCCTTTTCTCCAGAATGGCCCCTGGGCTCCTTCCAGGCCCCACTTTAAAAAGTGCCGAGTCACTGATGGGATGCACACCTAGTGCATCATCACAAACTTCCGCTCTTAGCTCCCAAAGCACTCGCCTGTCCTCCCTTAGGAGAGACAGGCGACCCAGCAGCTTCTGAAGGCCACACCTCCGCTCCCAGGATGACGGCTGGAGGAGGCAGGAGCCACGCTGTGAAAGGCAGGCTGGGAGAGAGCCACGAGAAGGCCGCCTACTGGTAAGGTCGGCCACGATAGCACGGCTCCAAAACAGTAACACTGTGACACTGAAGAGCCGAGTCACACAACCGTCTGAAAAGATGCTTGCTCTCCTACATAAGCAGGATGCATTCACATGTGTCTAAGTAATAGATGTACAATGCAGGCGACTGTGCCCCGCCCCTGTGCTGGGCCATCCTATCCTCCTCCCAACAACCTCATGGGACAGGCCTTGTCTGTATCATGCCCTCCTCACTGAACCGCACCATTTGCACCCACTACTCACTTGGACTTCCCAGGCCAAACCCTCCACGGCAACCTCGGAAGCCACCTCGTCCACCTCTTCTGGGCGGCGCCAAAGCTTCTGAGTCATTTCCATCCTGAAAGCCTAAAACAGCAACATACACATGAACAGCACAGGACAAAGACGCTGTGGGGACACAGTTTAACTTAAGCCTTGCATCATTCAATGACTTCAAATATTTTAAGGTATGAACAAGTAGTCACTGAGAAGAAACACTATAACCTACTTAATAAAAGCCTAATATGCTAAGTGTCTGGTCGTCTGTTCAACCAATCAAAGCGTAATATGCTAATGATATGCTAAGGCTGCTCAACCGCTTGCTATGATGTGCACTGACCACCAGGGGGAGGACAGTTGACCAGTTGCTATGACATGCACTGACCACCAGGGGCAGATGCTCCAACCGATAGGTTAGCTTGCTGCTGGGGTCTGGCTGATTGGGACTCAGCAAGACAGGCTGGACACACCCTGGAGCCCTCCTGTGGTCCCTCCCCGCCTCGATCATGCACCAGTGGGGTCCCTCAGCCTGGCCTGCACCCTCTCGCAATCCGGGCTGAGGACCCCACGCTCCCGCCTCCGAGTGCATAAATTTTGTGCACTGGGCCTCTAGTTTGACTATAAATGTTTAACCCTCCTACTATGAATAGACCTGGCTACAGTTTTTTTTAAAGCCCACTGCTGGCTTTCGGAATCAAAACTAAAGGTGACCATAAGGAAACAGGGTTGCTCTTAAAATCCTGAACGTTGCCACAACTGCATCACTAACAGGATGTATACCAGTGATGGCAAACCTATGACACGTGTGTCAGAGGTGACACGTGAACTCATTTTTTTGGTTGATTTTTCTTTGTTAAATGGCATTTAAATATATAAAATAAATATCAAAAATATAAATCTTTGTTTTACTATGGTTGCAAATATCAAAAAATTTCTGTATGTGACACGGCACCAGAGTTAAGTTAGGGTTTTTCAAAATGCTAACACGCCGAGCTCAAAAGTTTCGCCATCACTGATGTATACAGTCCGCAGAGATTAAATAAATCTGGGCCTCTATTTGCTTCTATAGGAAATAGCAAACATGATACTCAAAGCACAGAAATGTAGGCACACACACAGTGTGACTTCCTGTTATAAGTAACACATTTTTAACTCAACTGAATACAAAAGAAAAATCAGTAGAAACAGTTCAAGTAAAATGAGATCCCACCTATGACAGATCAAGATCAATTCAAAACCAAGATGGCAACTGGGTAGGAAATGTTTAAATAGTGTAGTTTATGAACTTGGAACTATTTCTGGTTAAGGAAACTAATCCGTAAGAATTCTACAGGTGCTGGTTCTTGATCCTGGGTCCTGTGTGTGCTTAGAGCCTGTTTATAAACCGGGCAGACAGTCTGCCTCTGTCACCTCCCTCCCGCACAGAGCACTCCTCAATCCAGCCACAGGTTACTGACCAGTGCTGACACCACCTTATTCTTCTAAGGGTTTATTTGTGCCTCTTTTATCTTTTAAGAAACCCTGTCAGAATTTCTCTCTTAAAGAAAGCCCTTTTGATCTGCTTTTCGGCTTAACTTATTTCATTGCTTGTGTGTATAAATAAAAGAACATATAAAACATATGCACGTTTAAAATAAATACATTAAAATGAAAACCTATAGACCCATCACCCTGTTTAAGACTAAACAGTCCCCGGTACCTTTGCCCCATAATGCATCACTTCTTCCCTGGAAATCTCTCCCCGGCCCCCAATACTGAGTGGTTTTTCATTTCCTTGCTCTTGTTTTAATTTTACCAATTCTGTACTTCTCTTTACTCAAGGCATGGATTAGTTTTGTTTTGAGCTCTATATAATGGGAACATACTTAAACATACTCGTCATGCTTTTTTATTCACCTGTTTTGGCTGCTGTGTGACACTGTGCTTCACTTCACTGCGGAGCAGCACTCCATCGCATGTTCCTATTTCATTCGTGTCCAGGACCTTTTTTACTTCCTCGGATGAACTTGCCTCCTCCCTTTCTTAAGTTGAACATCCATCTAATTTCTTTTCTAATGGATGCATTTAAGATTGTAACATTTCCTCTAAAAAGCCAGCTGTTAGCTATATCCTGTAAGTTCTGAGATGTTTTTACTGTCACTCTGCTCTAAATACTTCACTGTTCCCATGTGAACTATTATGCATAAACTGAGAAATTCAGTTCCCAAACTGCAAGGGTGAGGCTTTTGGATACTGCTTTCTACTTTTACTGTTCTTTAACAAGACGACATGGCCTTGATATAAATCCTATGCTGAGCTTTGAAACTTCCCTTTGGCCTTAATAGATGGTCCAATTCTACGTCTTTTCCATATACTGGATGGGAAATAGCATGTAACCTGTCCTTGTGGGGGATAGTACTCCACACAGAAATTAAATCAAGCCCAGTAACTGGTGCTCAAATCTCCTGTTGTCTCACTCCTTTCCATTCTGCTCAGTCTGTCAGTTTCTGAAGAAAAAACGGTTTAAATCTAGAATTAAGGGTTTAATTAGGATTTGCAAAATTTTCTCATAGTTACTTCTATTTTTGCTTTATATACAGAATATGTTGTTAGATTCAAACCATGCTCAGAACTGTAATGTCTTCCCAGTGAGCATGCCTTGTATCATTATTTATCACTAATATGCAAGTCTTTTATCTCCTATTGCTGTATCAGCTTCTTTTGGCTAATACTGACTGACACTTTTTCTCTTTATTTTTGGTTTTGCATTAAAATATATTCATGTATATTGTGATTATCGACATATGGATTTTTATTTCTACATCTTAGTGTTTTTAACTGAGTTTCAATGCTTTTTGTGCTTTTTTGTCCTATTAGATTTCCCCAGTTACTGTATTTTATTTTATGCTTTTACTGATATCCTTTCATTTCACCACAAATACTTAAATATTTAAGTATTATAAACCTAGACTCCTTCCTCCAAAGCCCTGTCCTTCTATTGGATTTCCTCCACCAGGAAGTTATGTGTTTTATTTATCCTTTTTCTGATCACCCTTCAATTCTATCATATTTAAGAAATCTTTAAATTATTTTCCATCTATTCTCCTTCCTACTGAGCAGGCAAAAAACAAATGAACAAACAAAAAACCCACACACAAAAAAACAAGTCTTTGCTAGTATTTTAGTTCTTTGTTTCTGAAACTCCCTAAGTTAATTATCATTATCATCAGCTTATATTGGGCTTACCAATTTTAAAACGGTTATTTATTTATTAGAGGCCGGGTACATGAAATTCATGCCCTTGGGGGCCCCCCTCAGCCCAGCCTGCGCCCTCTCGCAGTCCGGGACCCCTCGGCGGATGTCCGACTGCCAGCTTAGGCCCACTCCCCATGGGAGTCAGACATCCTTAGTGCTGCCGCGGAGGCGGGAGAGGCTCCTGCCACCACTGCTGCACTCGCCAGCTGTGAGCCCGGCTTCTGGCTGAGCGGTGCCCCCACTGTGGGAGCGCACTAACCACCAGGGGTCAGCTCCTGTGTTGAGCATCTGCCCCCTGGTGGTCAGTGCATGTCATAGCGACTGGTCGTTCCGCCATTTGGTCGATTTGCATTAGGCTTATGTTGGCTTACCATTGCTTTCTACTCCTTTCTTCCTGCTCAGTCCCTTCTTACTAACCTAGACAACTTAGTACTTCTTTCCTCAATGGCCTGAGTACTGAACGCGGTCTCTGTATGCATGGTACTGTTTCTCTCCGGCACCTGAATTGCCCGAGCTCACCCACCTGAGCTCGGAGCGCCTCTCCCGCGGCACCTGATCCTACTATCCTCTCACCTGCCTTCACCACAAAAACACTTCTGCTCTCAACCTGCTGATCTTCTTCAGGTGGATCTTCCCCCTGGTAGTTCTAGTTTTTATCTTGGTAATAGTGTAATTTCAACACATGTGCAGGGTGTGAATTTGTTTTTATTTGATTTGTTGAGGACTCATGTGCCTCTTTAAACTGGAAAAGTCTCATCTGTTCTCTTCCTCCCTCTTCTCCCCTCTCCCCCCCCTTTTCTGCTCTCTCCTCAGCTGTGCAGGCACATGTTGGAATAAGAGGGCTTCTCAGTCTGTCTTCCAAATCTGGTAACAGCTTTCAGGTTTTTCAAATTTAGAGAATTTCCTCCTCCCATCTATCTTTGGGTTCATTGGTTCTGTTCATCTATGTTTAATATGATTAATCGAGCCATCATCCCCCACTCTATTCTTTCTTATAAATTCAATTGGGTGCCTTTCCAAATCCACCTTCTCTGTGGAGCCCAAAACCCTCTGATGCCTCAGCATCTGTGGTGCCCACAGCTCAATGCCCACACAGCAGAGGCTCCGACTCCTAAGTGGATGTGCATGAACAACGCCAGTTCCAAGTTATACACAGAGCCTAGGAACTAGAGGGGAAGAGAGCACCAGTGTTCTGCAGAATTAAAAGTCTACACCATCTTCTTTCTCAAAGGCAGGGGCAGAAACACCACATATCCTACATGGTCTTTTTTTTTTATTGCTTAAAGTATTACAAAGGGTATTACATATGTGTCCCTTTTTTTCCCCCCCGCACCTGAACATCCCCTGGCCCTCCTTACCCCCCAGTGTCTTATGTCCATTGGTTATGCTTATATGCATGCATACAAGTCCCTACATGGTCTTAAAAATAATCATCTTTGCCCAGCCGGCAAGGGTCAGTGGTTGAGCGTCAACCTATGAACCAGGAGGTCATGGTTGATTACAGGTCAGGGCACATGCCCAGGTTTGCAGGCTTGATTCCCAGTGTGGGATGTGCAGGAGGCAGCCGATCAATGATTCTCTCTGAAAATTGATGTTTCTCTCTCTCTCTCTCCCTGTATGAAATCAATAAAAATATATTTTTAAAAATAATCATCTTTGTTAAAATAAATGTTAAAAGGTAAGAGTGAACTATTATAGAAGTCAAAATATATAAACTTAGAGCTATACTTTCAATACATAAATCTTTTAAAATGTTGAAGGAAAAAGTCATTAAAAGGTATAATATTAAGCTTTTCTAAAAATATAGACAGTATGCATACCAATCTACCTATATAAAAGCCTAAGCGACCGTGTGACCGGTAGTTATGACGTGCACTGACCACCAGGGGACAGACGCTCAACGTACAGGCACGGAAACATGGAACAGACTGATGAATCTCAGAGGGAAGGGGGGAGGGGGGAGGGAGGGAAGAGATTAACCAAAGATCTTATATGCATACTAGAGGGCTGGTGCACGGATTCGTGCACCAGTGGGGTCCCTTGGCCTGGCCTGTGGGGATCGGGCCGAAACTGGCAGTCCAACATTCCCTGAAGGGTCCCAGATTGGGAGAGGGCGCAGGCCAGGCTGAGGGACCCACCGGTGCATGAATCCGTGCACTGGGCCTCTAGTGTCAAAATAAGTTCCCATCCCCCATCCTTAATAAGGCTACACTGAAACGCAGCCAGTCCAGCTTCACAAGGCAGGGCTGCCATGCAACCAGCTGACCCCCTAGTGACCAGGGAAAGAACGTCCCTGAGCTGCAGCCAGCGCACCGGCACATGTGGTCACCATGGAGATCCTTCCACATTAGAAACTCTGATCCTAAGGAGCTTTGTATACCTGGAACAATTCTGTACGTTCATGAGAGTCTTTCTGTGGCTTTGCTATTGCTGTTTAACATGTCTGCCTACAGATCATTAAGAATTAAGCATCACAACTGGTGCCATCTCACATCTGCTTCATTAAAGGCAGGATTAGCGGAGGATGGTGGAGCCCCACTAGACCAGAACAAAAAGTCTTTTACAATTTCTTCCTCCCCCACGTCTCCGGAGATTCTGTTCAGGACAAGGGCCTCCCAGCTCCTCTAAACCGTGACTGACCAGGATCCACTCAGCCCGCCTGCTCTGCACTTCAAAGCACGTCCCGGGGAACCTGGGGGAATCCAGCAGAAGCGGAAAGAGGAACACCTTCTGAAGGTTCACCCACGTTATCAACAGCACAGCCATGTGCCAAAGTAGTTTTCTTCAAAGGTTTGCACCACCCGAGTTTCCCTTTCTTTCATCTCTTCCAAAAGCAGTTTGTCAGCTGAGCATCGGCCATCAGTACAAACTGTTCCAAACCCGGTCCTTACCTCCTCTCCTGGAGAACCCCCTGCTCCGCGCCTGAGCGTCTTCCCCGAAGTTATTAGGCTCTTGAATAAAAGTTTAACATGTAAATAGCATCTAAACAGTTAACTGCAAAGACGAAATATCAAAATGTAACAGTCATCACCTGAAATTACCATAAAACTATATGTCAACTGTGATTAAAAAATAAATTACTTCAAAATTATTTTAAATAAAAATACCACCGCCACAAGCCAAACTAGTAACAAAAATATTTTCCTAAGTTAAAATACAAACAACTCTTAAAATACTTTAACAACAGAAATATAAAGACATTCTTCAGTCAATCCCCATACAAATCACCTACTGCAGCCACATGCTGGATGGGAAGTGTGTAAGTGAGCACCCGTGCCAAGCGCGGGGCACCAGCCAGACATAAGCATCTAGTCGTCCCAAACGTGGTCTGCAGACACTAGAAGCACATGACTGTTCTTTTATGTGTCATCCTTACGTCTGTAATTTGCGTTTAATAAACCTGAGACATCAGTTTTTTAAAAGACATGCACTTTTCCCCATTCTTGCTAATGAAAAAACGAGGGGATATCCTGGCTTTTCTGGTTTTAATGACATTGTCAGGGTTTCTAAATAGATAAGAGGATCACTACACTGAAGGCTGCTTAAGAATTATCTGGGAAGTTTATTAAAAATAAATTCCCAGGGCCCACCCCAGAGATGTTGACTTTGCAAGTCTACAGTGATAGTGCTCCAGAACTGGAACAGACGAACACACTTAACCTTAGTTTCTCTTTAGCATGTTCTCTAGACTTTAAACTTTAATAGTCACTACAAAAAACACTGAACTCACCTCTCCAGAAACCAGAGCTATCACCTTCTTCAAGCTTGTTATTGGGAAAACCTGCAAAAATTTAAATTAAACTTGCAAATTTCTGAGAACAATAATTACCTGTAGCTCTGTGGTGTAGTAAAAACACCTTCCAGGGACGACTTGTTATGACGTCCCTTTAGAACAGGACAAAACACAGACAACTATATAGAAATACTGAAGAACTCACGTAGATTGTATTACAATTTCTCCCTTTGTCAATTTATTTTTTAATATATTTTTAAATCCTCACCCGAGGAAATATTGATTTTAGAGAGAGGAAAGGGGAAAAGGGAGTGGGAGGGGGGAGAGAGAAACACTGATGTGAGAAAGCCTCCCATACATGCCTGACCGGAACTCGAACCCACAATCTTTTAGTGTACTGGGCGACCCTGCAGTGAACCAAGCGGCCCGGACAGGGCTGCCCTGTGTCAATTTATTGAGGTTAAAATGTCAGCCAACGTTATATTACCTCAAATGTCACATACCCTTCCTTCTATATGTACATGGGCCAGACAGGGGTATATGTCAGTATCACCACTATATACTTTCTATTCAAAGTACCAAAATTTTTAAAATTTTATAAATTAACTCATAATTTCTTTATGTGCCAGAGGACAGTACAACTAAATTGTAAGCCAATATTCAGTAATGTTTCCCTTCTCAGTAACAAGAAATTTCTTATTTATAAAACTTTTTTAATCTTTCACCACCAACCTCTGCTTTCAATTTTCTCATTCAATAAAAACCTGTGTCTAGATTTATGCATCTCTGGAGCATACAGACATGTCTCTAAAGTCAATTCTAAAAGCATCCATCAGTAATATTTGACAGCATTTTTAAATGTTGAGTCTTAATAGAATAATCTTTAGGGCAAAAATACTCAAGAAATAATATACTTTAAAATTAGTTGTAAAACAGGATGTCTGTCAATCAGTATTTAATCTAAATTATAAAATATTAAATTATAGTTTATGTAATTCAGAGACTAACCAATAACTGTTGGACAGATGTTAAGTTTATATGAAAAATGTATACATATCAAGTCACTTCACATCTCAGGTTCCACCCTAATCTAACATGGTTTCCAGCATAAAGCTCCCTGCAGCTTTAATACACAATTACAGTATTAAAGTGCCCTAGAGCCTCAGTATCTGATTGGGTGACAAAGATGTTTTTCTTTGAGCAGACATCTAGTTTCAAAATAAAGAGAATTCCTAAGAAAGAATGGATTGTCACAAAATCTAAGTTTTTAGTTCATTCATTGAAATATTGGCCATCTTTGAAGCTGGTTCAGGAAAGGACTGTGCTCCACTGCCGCTGCAATGGCCCCTTTCCCGCTGTCCTCGCCTCCCCCAAAGCCAAGTGCTGGTTCCAAAATGCTCAGGAGAGTCCCCCAGTTACACCTACTGGCCTTGAAGTAAACTCTACTCTTGATTGCGTTTTTAAAGGTTTGTAGGAAGAAAGTTTAATTTTCAAAGCCCTCTTTGCTCAACGGAAGATGGAGGCTCCAATTCACCTTGGAGGATGGCATGGCCTCTGTCTGGGAGGGCGGGGGAGCCTTGAGGACAGAGGAGAGAACTGGGCTTCACCTGTGGTGTGAATCAGCATGAAAGGAGGCTGTAGCAAGGAGCTTGGCCAGTAAAAAGCTACATGGAAGAGCAGGCACCCCAAAGCAGCACAGACTGCTGCTCTCACCAGGAAGTGGTGGCGCCCCCGGGAGCGGAAATTCCTGGGAAAGGCACACTGTCCATGTGCGTCACAGGAGATACGAGCTCAAAGACGGACTCGCGGTCACTCGGGTTTTGACTGCAAGAATCACAAGCAAGTGTTACCTCTGTTTCCAAAACCCTTTCCAACGCCAAAGCCACCCATCGTGGACGCGCTCTCCCTTTTATTAGACTCGCCGGCATCTGAAAGAGTTCAGAGAACAATTCTCTAACATGTAACTGTGAGCATGGAGAACAATTCTCTAACATTTAACTGTGAGCATGGACAACAATTCTCTAACATGTAACTGTGAGCATAGAGAACAATTCTCTAACATGTAACTGTGAGCATGGAGTACAATTCTCTAACATGTAACTGTGAGCACAGAGAACAATTCTCTAACATGTAACTGTGAGCATGGAGAACAATTCTCTAACATGTAACTGCGAGCATAGACAATTCTCTAACACGTAACTGTGAGCATGGAGTACAATTCTCTAACATGTAACTGTGAGCATGGAGAACAATTCTCTAACATGTAACTGTGAGCATGGAGAACAATTCTCTAACATGTAACTGTGAGCATGGAGAACAATTCTCTAACATGTAACTGTGAGCATGGAGAACAATTCTCTAACATGTAACTGTGAGCATGGAGAACAATTCTCTAACATGTAACTGTGAGCATGGAGAACAATTCTCTAACATGTAACTGTGAGCATGGAGAACAATTCTCTAACATGTAACTGTGAGCATGGAGAACAATTCTCTAACATGTAACTGTGAGCATGGAGAACAATTCTCTAACATGTAACTGTGAGCATGGAGAACAATTCTCTAACATGTAACTGTGAGCATGGAGAACAATTCTCTAACATGTAACTGTGAGCATGGAGAACAATTCTCTAACATGTAACTGTGAGCATGGAGAACAATTCTCTAACATGTAACTGTGAGCATGGAGAACAATTCTCTAACATGTAACTGTGAGCATGGAGAACAATTCTCTAACATGTAACTGTGAGCATGGAGAACAATTCTCTAACATGTAACTGTGAGCATGGAGAACAATTCTCTAACATGTAACTGTGAGCATGGAGAACAATTCTCTAACATGTAACTGTGAGCATGGAGAACAATTCTCTAACATGTAACTGTGAGCATGGAGTACAATTCTCTAACATGTAACTGTGAGCATGTCATAAAAGCAGAGGTCAGAAGAATCTGGGAGACTTTCAGGTATAGGGAGAGAGAAGTATAGCAGTTTATAAGATGTAATTAACATACCCCCAACTTATTTAAAAAATTCTTACATTATGATATCAAGGTAAAAACATAAACATACTGTTGAAATACAGCGCTAGACTAGTTATTTTCCTAGTGACCTTTGTTCAGAAAATTCAACTCTTTAAAAAAATATTTTTACTGTTTCAGAGAGGAAGGAAGAGGGAGCGAGAACTAGAAACACCAACGATGAAAGAGAATCATTGATCAGCTGCCTGCATGCCCCCTACTAGGGATCGAGCTCGCCACCCAGGCAAGTGCCCTTGACCGGAATCAAACCTCAGTCTGCAGGCCGACGCGCTATCCACTGAGCCAAACCTGCTAGGGCAACTCTGACTTTCTGTATAGAAACCTCACCTGAGAGAGAGCTATTGACATTATGCCCCCGAGTGAAAGTCATTGCTACTGAAAATTTTATACTCTTGTCCTGTTTCTAAATTACTCTATTAGTAATGCATTTTTCTCCTATTTAAATCACTCACTCCTTCTATTCTAACTGAACTTAGGCAGGGGCCACATGATAAAGAAAATAAGCTGAGTGCCCTCTGCATCCCCTCCCTGCCACAGATGTCCCCATACTAGCCTCCTGGCCAATCAGCACCCACCACTGCAGTGCTGGGAAGCC